CAAAGCTGTCTCAGGGTATGTGCATGAGTTTGGTCTACTAACAGGAAAGGCATGTGTCTCAATAGAAGTGTTTTCTGGAGATAAAGAAGCATGAAAAGGAACCAGAAAAGAAAAAAAAAAGAAGAAGAAGAAGAAATCAGACAAAGCAAAATCAACTAAAAGAACTAAAGTTGTTTACTACAAACTGAGACCAGTGCTAAGCCATGTCACTATTAGTAACCCAATGTACTACAGAGAAAGGCACTTAAGCTCTGTATCACCCTCCTCAAAACCTTCCCTCCAGTCTAAATTACAGCAGAGACATGAGACTGACCCAGCCAGAGGGACTGCATAGAACATCTGATCGGAGCTCTCCAAAAGTATCAAGGTTATGAGAAAGCAGAAAAGACTGAGAAATATCACCGACCAAAAAGGACTGCAGAGATGCAACATGGGATCCTGGAAGAGGGACAAAGTTGGAGAGATCCTGAGGAAGTCTGGAATTCACCAATACTGATGTACAAATGATGACTTCCTTGTGACAAATGTTCCTGGTTATGTGAGATGCAAGCGTTAGGGGCAGGGTGGGAGGAAAGAATGCTCCATTCTGGCTTCCCAGTTCCTCTATACATCCAAGTTTATTCAAAAGGATCAACTTATTTTAGAAATACATACATATTTTTATATATGTATATATTTCTTGTCATATATATTGTAAAGGTAAACTTAGAGAAATAGAAAGAAGAGCTCTTCCATCTACTGATTCACTCCTCCAGTGGCCACAAGTGGCTGGGTGGGACTAAGCCAAAGCCAAGAGCCAGGAACAGTGTCTGAGTCTCTCAGCTAGGTGGCAGGGGCCCAAGCAGCTGGGCCGTCATCTGCAGCTTTCCCCCCCGCATACTATGGGAGAGCTGGATTGGAAACAGAGCAGCCAGGATTTGGACACAGCTGTGTTCATGAGATGCCAGGCCTGCAGGCAGCAACAATGCACTGTGACACAGCACAGGGACTATCTGATCATGACAGGAACTGCGTTCACTTAAAGCTGCCATGCTTTGGTTAATATCACTGATTATGTAGCTTCCACTGAAAAATAGCTATCTGCCAGATTTTTTAATAACCTTTGGAAAATGTTTGCTAAATTAGCCTGTTCTGTTCATAAGCGAAAACAAGACACAAACAGAGGAACATCTAACGATGAGTCTCTTGTGTACCTGCGGGCATCATTCCAACTTTCATATAACTGTGGTGCCCCATTCACAAATCTGAAGCACTGTCCCTGACTTACTTTTCATTGCCTAACAATTCTAACATGAAGATTCACTTGTTCATACAAGAAACATGAAGAACAAAAACCTTTTCAAATCAGAAAACCTCATCTGAGGTAACTGCCTGCTCTCATTACCTAACAATAACCATCAGCGAAGGTGTTCTGGAAACTCAGCAGAGGGAACTAGAAACGTTGGGGTGGTGGTCCCAGCAGGCAAAGCAATGAAAAACCACACAAAGGGCACAGAGCAAAGCCACCAAGGCAGAGGCTGGGCTCAGACCAGAGCAGGAAGGGACGAGTTACATGGAAGGTCGGGCACACGGCATAACGGTGCTTGCTCTTGGCTGCTAAGCGATGTGAGGCCCAAGCAGGAGTGAGCCTCACCCAGGGAACTGTCCTCCTGGGCTCCAGCAGGATGGGTTTCAATGACTCAGGGGCTTTCAGCTAAAAGGGAGCCCGGGTCCTAGGTGCCAAGGACTCTCAGTTGCCAGTGATGAACCAGAGTAAGATAGATGGGCTCCTCTTAAGCTGGAGAAGGAAAAAGAAAGCAAATAGGCAGGATAATGACCTAAAGCCTCAGATTACAGGAAAAGCCCTGGTTCCCGCGGAGAGACTGGGCGCCCGCAAGCGTGATTCATGATCTGAATCAGTGCCCAGCAAATAACGCGACAATGTCTTTGCACATCACTATGTCTTGGGTATGTCAGACAGAATCTCATAGGTCCCCTCAGACACTCTAAAATCATCATTGTACTTGAAAACCATTTTCTAAGAAGGAAGAAAAGGCAGTAACAACCCTAAATGTTTATCTTTGAAGGACTAATGTCCCTCTAAACACAGAGGAATCAGCTGCCCAAGCTCATGGCTGTAAAAGCTGAGGTATTCCTGGGGATCAAGATTTATCACAAGAACCCAGGAATCATTTGCATTCTCATCCAAAAGTATCTACTGACAATGAGGGTCTATTTAAAAGCTCATGGAGGGCCCAGCGCGGTGGCGCAAGTGGTTAAGGCCCTCGCCTTGCACACCCGGGATCCCATATGGGCACCGGTTCTAATCCCGGCAGCCCCGCTTCCCTTCCAGCTCCCTGCCTGTGGCCCGGGAAAGCAGTCGAGGACAGCCCAAAGCTTTGGGACCCTGCACCCGCATGGGAGACCCAGAAGAGGCTCCTGGCTTTGGATCGGCATAGCATCGGCCGTTGCGCTCACTTGGGGAGTGAATCATCGGACGGAAGATCTTCCTCTCTGTCTCTCCTCTCTGTATATCTGCCTTTCCAATAAATAAATAATAAAAATAAACCTTTAAAAAAAAAAAGCTCATGGAATGAGTAATTAAAAAGTAAGTTGATCCAGGTACAAAACCCTTTAAAATGCATGTGTATGAGCCCTCTTCAAAACATTTGGGGAAAACAAGTATTAGGGAAAACCTATACAGGAATTTCAATTTTTTTCATCAAAATAAACTTTTTAAAAAAGATTTATTTATTTTTACTGGAAAGGTAGATTCACCCAGAGAATGAGAGACAGAGAAGAAAGATCTTCTGTCTGCCAGTTTACTCCCTAAGCGGACACCACTGCCAGAATTGTGCCAATCCGAAGCCAGGAGCCAGGAGCTTCTTCCAGGTCTCCCACACGGGAACAGGGTCAAGCCATCCTCGACTGCTTTCCCAGGCCACAAGCAGGGAGCTGGATGGGGAATGGAGTAACTAGAACACGAACCGCCACCCATATGAGATCCCGGGCATGCAAGGAGAGGTCTTTAGCCACTGGACTATTGCGCCAGGCCCAAAATAAATTAATTTTTTAAACCCATGTTTCCAAAAACTTTCTGAAACACCTGTTGGGATGTCTAATACGGGCGAAATACAATGCCTGATAAACACAGAAAAAATAAAATATAAAATCCTGCCCTGGCAGACTGTAAGAGCGGAGTCAAATAAGTGTAACACAAACATATCACACCTTTCTGAGGTACCCAGCACTTGCATGTTGACTTAGAACACTGCAACATCTATTCCCTGCACAGAGTTCAAGATTCACAAAGCCTCTTATATTGGGCATTGTTCTCATCCCCACCCAGCTCGACCACCATGGACCAATGACAAAACGCCCTGAGTTTCGGAGTGCTTAAAGGACTCCATGGGAAGTGATTCTCACGCTCCTTCCTGTCACAACAGAAATATGCTGTTCCAATTTGCTTTTCCATCGTTTCTGTGGCCAGCATTGCCCAGCTGTGGATCTGGTGGACTTCTCATCACGACTCTGGAGCTCAGAGTGCCTCCTCCAATGGCTGATGAAGGGAGGGGAGTGCCTGCAGAGCACTCATTGCACATCTTTATCCAACCTGCTTGTTCACGCTTGCATGACACACCTGTCCTTCACACATACCCTGCCCTTCCTTGAGGCTTTTCCTGCCCTCCCCCTTTCCATCTTTCACATAATTCTACACATGTTCATTACACAGCTTCTGGCAGGTGTGTTGTGAACTGCAAGAGCCTACCAGGCACACCTGCCAGCTGTCCCTGGTGACAGTTTATGGGGAGCCCACCCTCCGTGCAGACTGTTCACTGTAAGGTAGCCTCACTTGCCCAGGAATACAGGAGTTCTTATTGTGTAGTTTTATGGATGTCTCTAAGGGGTAGCTTCTCCTTCCAAAGTTTGCTTTATGCCTTCTCCATTTGGGGAAAAACAGGGTTCCCTTATCCAAAGGCATTAAGTTATATCAATGTAATCCAAGTGACTTTTTGTGTATTTCATCCTCTCTGCACTTATGGAAAAAAGACATTATGAAGATTATTATTATGTATATATAATAGCTCTTTTACATATACATGCACCATTCTGTGTATGTGTGTATATATATATATGTAAGCAGCTCTTTTATGCACATACATACATGGGTGGTGTGTATACATACATAAATGACAGAGCATGAAACATGGTAAAACACTCCAAGTGCTACATAGCTCCCAGCCCCAGCATGGGAATCAGCACAGGCTGACGTGGAGATGTGGCCCTGAAGCACCCTCTCAACTCACCAGCTTTTTAAGCCTTTCTGAAAGCTGATTTCTACATGGTGAGAATGCCTGCCTACGAGCGCTCAAGATGCATGGTGCTTGAAAATTACACTTATTATTCTATGTACACATGAAGTTCGGCAGTAATTTGGTCAAGCACTTCCTAAGTGCTTTTAGTTTTCTGATTCTCTAGAGCTTCCACCAATCCTTCTTTTAGAACAGCAGAGTTAAACTCAAGCTTCCTACCTTGACCCATTTCTCAGCTGAGACGATTAAGCTACTACTAAAATTTATACTTCTAAGATAATTGCTAGTTATATTCAAAATGCCACTTCAAAAGCTAAGTTTTACACCTCATTGTCACACTACTGGAACTTTTCCAAAGATACAGAGCTGACAGTGACACACCGACATTTGTAATAGTAACAGTCACAGCAATATATAAATATTCTTTGCCTGCATTTACTGCCTTACACAGCAGCCTTTCACATTTATTACCAAGATTTTTTTCCAGCAGATACTATTGTCCAGCAAAACAAATTCAAAATTTTCTGTTCAATCTCTCTGTATATAAAACAATGGAAAAGAAAAAAAAAAAAAAACACTTGCCAGTAGATTTATATCTGAAACTTTCACATTGAAAAAAGCTTTAACATTGCTTATTAGCAAACACAAAATAATCATCTGCCCTTTAAATCATATATATATATATTTTTTAAGACATTGATTTCTTACCCCTGAACTTCTTGGGAGGGTTGGCTAGGTCCCCGGCCTCTGGGTGAACTACGCATCTGTCATCCACTAACCTGGAAGGAAAAATATGTGGACACTGTTAACACCGTCACTTCATGCAGCACAGAATGCACGCAGAGAGCGCATAAACACTGACACAGTGGTCTAATAGCACTCTTTGCTTGGAGGCATTTTCAGTCACAGATTTGTTAAAAGATTTCATTATAGAGATAGTCATGACAGCAAGGTTCAAGAAACTGAACAACAGAAGGATACTAGTTAGATAAATCACAACACAAAGTATGAAACACCATGGAGCTCTTTAAGATTTCATTATACAAAATGTACTAGCCTGCAAAACATTTATAATATGTTGTAAAAGAGACACTACTCAATAAAACACTGCCTGTGTTTAAGATACACACACCCATACCTAATACACACCCTGATACACACACACACACACACACACACGGAATGGAAGACAGAAAATGTCAAGAGAAATTAGATTGTTGATAGTGTTTATCTTCCTTCTTTTTCCTCTCTCTCTCTCTCTCTCTCTCTCTCTCTCTCCCCTCTCCAATCCCTCCCTCCCAATGACTCTGTGTGTACATGCGCGTGTGTTGCAAGGACTGTGTCATTTGTAAATCAGGCTTATGGGTTGACTACACAGCGAATGGATGTGAGTTCTGGCCTGCGATCAAACTCTGCTCTGCCATATTTTACTTAAGAGACAATCAGGGCAAGCACTTGAGCTACACTGTTGTTCCTCCCAGGATCAGCAAGAGCAGAAAGCTGCAGCCAGAACACGAGCTGGGAATCAAACCCCGGCTCAGCAGTGTAGGACCTGAGCATCTTTACAGCGAGGCCAAACACCCCTCGTAAATGACCTGGTATTTTTTTAACAGACATATCCTAGTTTCTGGCATTCAGAAGGCCCCAAAATAAGTGTTTGCATATGTTAAATAAAACCCAGGAGTTGGGTCTATCTTACCTCTTACCGTATTCTCACCTGTAGAAGAGTACCTGACACTCAACCAATATCAAAAAGTAACTTTGTAGTGACAAGACATATTTAACTGCTACAAAAATACTTAGAAGTCAATTTCTAGGACAGTTTCAAGAGTTAAAAGGCTAGATATATGAACTGTAAGACAGCAGACATAAATCCTGTTCAAAGACAAAGACCAAATGACCTAGGACTCATTAAAAGTTCACTTCTCTGTAAGTGTAGGGGGCGGGCCATTGCGGTGTTAATATCCAGGTTACTGTGAGAATGTATGTGAACTAGCTACACAATGAATGTACAAGAAGCAAAGACTCAGGTTACAACTTTCTGGATTTGAAAGGAAAAAAAGAAAAACCTTGACCTGAGTTAAGCAGATTCTATAGCCCACATCAACTCCACCAGTTTCTAAAGCCTTTGAACTAGGATAATGAACCAAATAGAAACAAAACTTTTGGTCCCTGTTTTACCCAGTTACCAGAATCAGACACTTTCTGAATCTGTGGATTTTTCTATGACATCCAGCTTCCACAAAACAAAATGCTAATTTGCTTAAGCAGTACAGCTCTTTGATATTTTTTTAAATACGTATGCTTCATTCACACTGGTTTACTAAAATGTGGTTTTACAAGAGCTTTCAGGCATGCCAAGAAATTCCTTTTAAGAGTGTTTAGAAATTGTTTTCTTAGAAACAGGAAATCCTTTGGGTCAAGAGAGCGTATACTGAATCCTCCACACTGTCCAACAGCAGCAGCCCCTTGCATGGAACCCAAGAAACTGAAACCATCCTGAGAACAACACAACGTAAAACTTAAGATAAAAGCGATGTCAGGGAAAGGTCAGAGTTCCCAATTAGCTCAGACATTTTAAGAATTCAAAACACAATAATAAGAAAAATCATATTTAGGACACATAAAGATTACATAATAAGTGCCAGCAACATTCTACTCATTCTTTGTGCCTGCCATTCCCACAGAAGTCCAGGTCCCCACCGAATTTCGCTGAGTCCCATCGGCATGGGCCAGCCAGCGAAAGGAACAGATTTGAGAATGAGAGCTATAAACCATATCACAGGTACCTATGCAAACATTCATGTCTATCCTCAACTACCGAAGGCCCAGACAAAAGCACATTAATGAGTGACTTCAATTCTAAGAATCTGTCCTGTAAATAAAGCTTCTATGAACACTCACAAAGACATTCACTGTAGACTTAAAGAACTAGAAATGAATTTGTCGAGACTGGGAGAAAGGAAGATGAAAAGGAACAGGAAGGAGCAAGGGCTGTAAAGCTATTATAAGACTTGGACGGTATCAAAGCCACACATGATTTTAATGATTTGTGGGAGCTTCTATCATCTCCCCAGTAGCATCCTCCTGAATACCTTCAGAGCAAGTGTATTCACCATTTACACTCCCTCTGAGAGTACAGACACACTGGAAACGTGTCTGAAATGGAGCTGAGGACAACAGAGAAAATATGTTAATATCTGTTTTTCCTGTGGGCCAGAAGTGGTATCCCTACCTTAAACATCAGGTAAAATATTTTCCTGGTGCTTAAAATTAAGTGATACAGTTGCCCGCATAACAAAATGGCTCTGAACCAGGCTTAAATAAAATGAATCTGTTAGATATAGGAGTTCGGGCATCACATGATCAAAAGCTATTTGTAAGAAAAGGGGTTAAGACAGTAGAGAGGTTCATGAACATGATGGAATTGGTTGCCTTTAAAAGTGCTGTCAGGGCAGTCCCGACAACAGACCAAGAAGTCTCAGGTTGGAGCCCTTGAATTGGAATCCCAGATTTGGCCCCTGGCTCCAACTTCTGCTCAGCGTGCATCCTATGCAGCAGCACCAATGGCTCAGTTGGTTGGGTTTCTACCGCCCACATGGGATCTGCCACCTCCCAGCTTTGGCCTGGCCCAGTCTGGCCCTGCAACATCCTTCCATGTTCAGTCCCATTCGTTTACAAAGAGCACCAGAACAGAAGGGAAACAACGTGGCTTTCACAACCTCAACAGATCTCCACCCATGGTGCTTGTGCTGGTCGTCTCATTCCTCTGTAATTTATTTCTTAAACAGGCCAACTACAAACCTACAAGGTCCCTAGTTTCTGTGGGATTGTGCTTGTCCACTTATACTTCGTCATTCGAGTTGACTCATGGGGGCCTGGTATGATGGCTTAATGGCTAACTCTTCACCTTGCAAGAGCCAGTATCCCATACGGGTGCCTGTTCATTCCCGACTGCTCTGCTTCTCATTCAGCTCCCTGCTTGTGGCCTGGGAAAGCAGAGAAGAATGGTCCAAAGTCTTGGAACCCTGCTGCATTCATGCAGGAGACCAAGAGGAAGTCCCTGGTTCCTGGCTTCAGATTGGCTCAGCTTCAGCCAATGTAGCCACTTGGGCAGTGAACAAGCAGATGGACGATCTTTCTCTCTGTCTTTCTCTCTGCCTTTACAGTAAAAATAAATCTTTTTTTTTTTAAGATTTATTTTTACTACTTTTTTATTGGAAAGGCGGATATACAGAGAGGAGAGACAGAGAGGAAGATCTTCCGTCCAATGATTCACTCCCCAAGTGAGCGCAACGGCCAATGCTATGCCGATCCGAAGCCAGGAGCTTCTTCCGGGTCTCCCACGCGGGTGCAGGGTCCCAAAGCCTTGGGCCGTCCTTGACTGCTTTCCCGGGCCACAGGCAGGGAGCTGGAAGGGAAGCAGGGCTGCCGGGATAGAACCAGCGCCCATATGGGATCCTGGGCGTGCAAGGCGAGGACCTTAACCACTGCGCCACCGAGCTGGGCCCCAGTAAAAATAAATCTTAAAAAAGTTTATTTGTGAAAGTATCCTTCAATAGCAAAAACATTGACATTCAGCATATTTTATCCATTGCAGACAGAACAGTTCAGGATTCAGGATTTATTCCTTAACAGACACTATTTTATCATTCTGAGGGGGAAAAAAAAACAACAACACACACCGCAGGGTAAGCACCGGCTTATTTGAAATGCATGAGACCACAAGTGCCTCAGGTGTTGGGTTTGGTTTTTCTAGTTACTTTTAGATTTCTGGTTAGTGTTTTTTAGATTTGTAAAAACACAGTAAGATGTCTTGGGGATGAGATCCAAGTCCAAACACAAATGTATTTATCTTTCAAACATTCCTTACATAGGCGGCCTGGAGGTGATTTCACACAAGATTTTTACGGTACCTGTGTTTTACCACAGCAGGCCACAAAAGTTCAGGTGTGGAATTTTCTAATCGGGGAGTTATCGCGGTGTTCAAAAAGCTTTGGGATATTCCAAATCTCAGATATCCAGGTGATGAACATGCAATCTAAATTAAGTGCTTCATTTCAATGGAGTCTTAGTAGAACGCAATACTCCAAAAACTTAAAAATGCTGACTGAGTACTACGGACACTCCTTTCTACTGAGCCAAACTCTAGCCACTAGGATAGAAAGTCAGCTCCTAAGCTGTCTAGTCATGTTTGTAGGGCAATTAATTTTACTACTGTAGGTTACTACAGAGTAACCCACCAGGAAATACTAGCTTTCACAAATGTATACTTCCATAATTTTTATCAGACTGATCCTGTAAATCTCAGTTTAAATTATTTAAAGAACTCAAATCATGCAGAGGGAAGCAATTTCATTGCAAAACTTTCTGTCCAAACGTTTTCTCATTTGTAAATGCCAGCAGAGCCAATATACCAAATCCTGTCAGGGTTGTTCTCGTATTTCGCTTGTTGCGATGGAAAACAGTTAAATTCACATTTAATTGTATGTGAAGTTGTAAATTTTTAAATTTGAAAACATGAAAGTTAACATCATCATCTTAGATGTATCTCATTGCAATATTTTTATGAAGACAAGCATTTTTAGCTAATCAGTAAAATTATGTTTCATTTCATGCGGGGCTCTATATCCACATTTAAATCACAGTATGAATACCAAACGTTGACGTGCATGGGAACCCCACGTATTAAATTTTCGATCAGTTATTCAGAACAAATAACTTAACTATCAATTCCCTTTTTTTTTTTAAAGAAGGATCTCATGTGGACCACAAAGAG